TGAGAATGACAAATTGAAGAGGAATGGTGTCACATTTATCATCAAAATGAGCATTTCAAGATCTATCATGAAGTATAATGCTGTCTGTGATAGTATAATATCCATAAACCTACATGGAAAACCAGTTAATATAACTATTACTCAAGTTTACACACTAACCATTAAAGTCAGTGATAATATTGAAGAATTCTTCCAACTTATTTGGTTTGAAATACATTAAGCACACAATCAAGATGTATTGATAATTATTGGTGATTAGAATGCAAAGGTTGGAAACAAGAGCATCAATAAACAGAAAATATGGACTTGATGATACTGGAGATAGCATGCTAGAATTTTGTAAGACCAATGACTTCTTCATTGCAAATTAAAAAAAAAAAAAAACTAACGTAGACCTTACCAGATGCAATACACAGAAATCAAATTGACTACATTTGTGGAAAGAGACAATGGAAAAGCTCCATATCACCAGCCAAAAGGGCCAGGGACAGACCGTGAAGTTTCTCATATGCAAATTCAGGCTGAAACTGAAGAAAATTAAAACTAGTCCATGAGAGTCAAAATTTGACCATGAATATTTTTCACCTGAATTTAGATATTATCTTAAGAACAGATTTAATGTAGTAGACACTAATGACTGAAGACCAGAAGAGTTGTGGGATGACATTAACAACATCATACAGGAAGAAAGCAAAAAGTCATTAAGAAGACAAGAAAGAAGGAAAAGACCAAGATGGATGTAGAAGAGACTCTGAAACTTGCTCTCCAGCATAGGTGTGGTAAAGCAAATGGAAGAAATGAGGCAAAAGTGCTGAATAGAAAATTTCAAAGGGTAGCTTGAGAAGACAAAGTCAAGAACAAAAATGAAGTGTGCAAAGACCTGGAGTTAGGAAACCAAAGGGAAGAACATATTCAGCATTTCTCAAGCAGAAAGAACTGAAGACAAAATTCAAGCTTTGACTCGAAAGACTGAAGGATTTTATGGGCAAAATATTGAATGATACAGAAAGCCTCAAAAAAATATGATAGGACTACACAGAGGAGGACACAGTCACAATACCAAATGAAATGGTTGATGTTCAACCCTTTCAAGAGATATGATCATATCATATGATCAAGAAGCAATGACAACGAAAGAAGAAGTCCAAGGTGCACCGAAGCCATTGGCAAAGAACAAGGCTCTGGGAATTGATGGAATACCAGTTGAAATCTTTCAACAAACTGATGCAGCACTGGAGGCACTCACTCATCTATGTCAAGAAATTTGGAAGCCAGCTACATGAACAAATGATTGGAAGAGATCCATATTTGTGCCCATTCCAAAGAAAGTCCCAACGGAATGCAGAAATCATTGGACTTTATCTTTAATATTACATGCAAGTAAATTTTTGCTACAGATAACCAAAAAAAACAGCTGCAGCATTGATAGGGAACTGTCGGAGGTTGAAGCCAGATTCAGGTGAGTATGTAGAATGAGGGATATCACTGCTGATGACGGATGGAATGTGTCTTTAAGCAAAGAATATCAGAAAGATGTTTACTTGTGTTTTATTGACTATGGAAAGACTTTTGATTGCATGGATTGTGACAAACTATGGATGACATTGATGAGAATGAGTTTTCCAGAATGCTTAATTGTGCTCATGAGGAACCTGTACAAAGACCAAGAGGCAGTTGTTTGAATAGATCAATGGGACACTGAATGGTTTAAAATCAGGAAATGTGTGCACCATGTTTGTATTCTTTGACCATACTTACTCAATTTGTATGCTGAGCCAATAATCAGAGAAGCTTAATTATATTAAGAAGAACATGGGATCAAGATTGAAGGAAGAGACATTAACAATCTGTGATATGCAGATGCTATAACCTTGCTTGCTTAAAGTTAAGAGGACTTAAATATGTACTGATGAAGATTAAAAACACAGCCTTCATTATGGGTTGAACCTCAATGTAAAGGAAACCCTAATCCTTACCAATAGAGCAATAAATAATATCATGATAAATGGAGAAAAGATTGGAGTTGTCAAGGACTTCATTCTTCTTGGATCCACTATCAACACTCATTGAAGTAGCAGTCAAGAAATCAAACAACGTGTTGCATTAGGCAAATCTGCTGCAGAAGATCACTTTAGAGTGTTGAAGAGCGAAGACGTCAGTTTGAAGACTAAATTGCACCTGACTTAAGTCATGGTATTTTCAACAGTTTCATATACATGTGAAAGTTGGATAATAATTGTGGGAGACCATAGGACAATTGATGTATTTGATTTAATATTGTTGAGAAGAACATTAAAAGTACCACGGACTGCTTGAAGAATCTGTTGGATGTAGTATAGCCAGAATACTCCTTAGAAGCCAAGATGACGAGACTTTGTCTCTCATACTTTAGACATATTATCACTAGGGACCAGTCCCTAGAGAAGGACATCATACATGTTAAAGTGGAGAGTCACAATAAAGAGCAAGACCTCCAACGAGATGGGCTGGCACAGTGGCAGCTGCAATGGGCTCAAACTTAACAACAATTGTGAGTATGGTATAGGATTGGTCAGTGTTTTGTTGTGTTGTCGCTGAGTGGACAGCAGCTAAAAAACAACACAGCATCTATGACAATGTATACATTTTAACTGGTTATGATATACTATAAAATTATTATTAGTGTAACAGGCCTCTTCAGATTCTGTTTTAGAATAAGATGGGAACTCAACACCTAAAAATAAATGAAATAACATATGTAGCAGTGTTGTAAGCAAACAAGGGCTTTGGCCATTTAATAGAGGTAAATCCTAAGTGTATAGTCACTTATTTAGTAACGGATAATTTTTGGTGCATAGCAGTTAGAAAAACAGCGTTATCTCTGTTTTCTCAATTTCCTTGCAGGGATAATTCACCACTCAAAAAATAAAATTTTTATCCTGAGCATAAATACTTAATTTGGAGTCACGCTGTATAAGGGTTATGTGTAAACACGTAAATTGGAAAAGACAACAAGGCTTAACCATACTATCTCAGAGGATGGGCTAATGGGGTTTGTATGGTCAATTTAACAAATAATTTATTCGATTTCTGTTCTGGTTATCTATTTTTGTATAACAAATCACCCTAAAACTTGGTGACTTTAAACAACAATTTGTAATTCTCTCTCAGAGCTTTGAGGATTACTACTCTGAAATCAGACAGCAGTATCAGGACTGCATGCTGTTTCTACAGTGCCCACTTACATCAGACATATCTGAGGAAAGGACAGCCTTAGGCTTGGGGTTAGGCAGAACCCTGTCTTGCTGGCTTACAAATATATTGGGTTAGAATGGCTCTAAGCAGAATTATTTTTTTTCCAGTTTCATGGCAGATCTACCAGGGTAAGAGTGTGGATGCAAGATCAAGGTCCTAAAAGTCTGTTCCCACCAATAGCTTATGCTTAAGGAGGCTTTTTTCTGTGTGTGTGTGTGTGGGGGGGGGGTCTGTACAGGTGGTGATTTGAGTCCTGGTGTGGTGCTGTGGGTTAATGCACCAGACTGCAAAGCCATTTGAACTGCAAGGTTGGCGGTTTAAGCTCACCAGCTGCTTCTTGGAAATCCTATACAGGGTTGCTTTGGGTCAGAACCGACTCGATGACACTTAACAACATAACAACAATGGTTCAGAGATAGAATTTGGAGCTGGGCTGTACCCATCATCACCTAGCCCAAGCTGTGAGAGCTTGTATGGCAAGTTGATTTAATTTCTCTGTCTCATTCCCTCACCTGTAAAGTGTAGATATTAGTAAGCAGCTGAACTGCAAAGTCGGTTTGAACTGAAAGGTTGCGGTTCAAGCTCACCAACTGCTCCTCAGAAACCCTATGGTGGTGGTAGTATGTCGTGAAGTTAGTTCTGACTCAAAGTGACCCTGTGTAGGGTTTCCGAGGCTGTAAATCTTTACAGGAGCAGAATGCCTCATCTTTCTCCTGTGGAATGGCTGGTAGTTTTGAACTGCTGACCTTAAGGTTAGCAGCCTGATTCGTAACCACTACGCTACCAGAGCTCCTTTGGAAATCCTATACAGTGTTGCTATGGATTGGAATCAACTCAATGGCATGTAACAACAACAGTAACTTATAGGGTTGGCATATATAAAAGCACTTAGAATACATGGAAAAGGCCATGTAAGTGTTTGTTAATATTGTTATTAAAGGAAGCCATCCACAAAGTGGGTCAGAACTCACTTCACTGTGACAGCGAAAATAGTTGCCATGGAGCTGGTTTCACCTCATAGCAACTGTGTATAGGGTTTTCAAGGTTGTAAATATTTCTGGGAGAAGAAAGCCTCATTGTTGTCTCACAGAGCAGCTGGTAGATTCAAACTGCTGACTCTTCAGTTATCAGCCCGGCTTGTAGCTCACAAATAGACCTACAGAATATTTGATGCCAGGGTTCACCAGTCCCACTGTCTTCCTGGGCTGACGTTCCTAGACTCAAATTCATTTATTTTAAGCTAACGATTTTTATTTCTATTGACATAAAAATATATTTGAGAACATATCATTTTATGGACTGTTTTAAAGGGGATATTTTGGAAGGAGTTTAGAGGAGTAAGCATGAGTATATTCAGCAACTGAGGGAAGAAATAGGTTTTAAAAAAAGTTGGCAGATAAAAATGTTACAAATTAGTTATTTCAGAGCTGGCCTTGTGAAGAGGAGTGAAGGCTCTCACTGACCCCCAGTTCACAATCTCTCTGTCCCATCATGGTATTTCCTCAAAGGCAAATCTAGTTTATATGGCCTAATCAACTGCTTAAGAATTCCATGAATCAGAAGCAGGATAGGAGGAACCGTCTTTGTTCTCTTACAGACTTGGCTTCAAATCTTGGCTTTGCAAGTTACTTGTCCTCTTAAAGCTGTAGTTTCCTTGTCAATAAAATGGGAGCAATAACCCTGCAACCTAGAGGTTGTTAGGAGGACTAAGTGAGTGAGTTGGGGAACACTTGGCATACAGGTGACATTGGGCAATGGAGACTTACCAGGAATTTCCGCTTCTGCTTCCAGTGGCTGCCTTGGGCATTGGTGGCTACATGGGCTTCGGTGACGGTTTTGATTAGCTCCCATTCCTCATCTGTGGGCTCAGGCTTGTGACCCATGGATTTCTGCAACTCTTCCCGCCGCCTCTTTTCCCGGTTCTCTTCTATCAGCTTCCTTTTTGCCAGTCGCTTGCTGTCATCCAGCACCACTGGGAAGAGGAGAAGGATGAGAGAAGACACACAAATGGTTCCCAGGGGTGGGGTGTACTGAAACAGGGATGGTTCAATGGGTCCTGTGGTATGGAGCTTGCTCTGGGCTCCAGATTGCCCATGACCAGCCATTTTCCAACATGGTGGCTGTGTGCCCAAATCCCAAGGTTTAGTTGGCTTTTCAAAAAAAAAGTCTTGGGTAAACCTGGACTTACAAGAGGCGGACCCAATTCAAAGGGAAGCCGAGAGAGGTGAAACCCAGCATTACCCACAAGAGAATAGATGGATTTGTTGAGTCAGTTACCGAAATCATTTTTAGGGATTCTGCTCTTCCCTTCCTCCCCCCAAATGACTCTTAGTAAGAAGAACATTGCAGTCCCAGGTGGTGCTGTAGGACAAGCACTGGATTGCTAACTAAGTGCAAGGTTGGCAGTTCAAACCTGACAGTTATTCCTTGGAAACCCTATACAGGGTTGCTATGAGTCGGAACTGACTTGATGGCACTTAACAGCAACAACAATGAGATCTTTGGAGTCCTTGTGTGGTACAACCATTTACACACTCAGCTGCTAACAGAAAGATAGGTTCTAGGGGACACAGTTCTACTCTGACACACATGGGGTTGCCTTGAGTCACAGTCAGTTTGATATCAGCTTATTATTTTTTAGGAAGAACTTCAAAGAAAAGTTCTGGAGTGATAATGGGAAACTCAGGATTCCCTCCTCTGAGGAGACAGGACCTCAACTCCTCAAGGCTTCCTTGAGGATTAACTGGAATGTGAATGGGTCTACTTTGGGCCACACAAGTTACTCATTTTGCATTACTTTTATTTGGTCATCCCATAATCATAATCCCAGGCTCTGGAATCTTGCAGGACTTGGGTTTGAGTCCTGACATGACCACATTCTGTGTGACCTCTGGCAAATTACTTAGGCTCCCTGAACTGTCATTTATGTATGTATAAAGTGGGATCAACTCACTTCACAGGTTATTTTATGTGACAATGTATAGGTATACCTGCTCTTTGTTAGTGCTCAGTATATGTAACCATGACAGATCATTTATGCAAAAGGAAAATAAGGGCAGGTGGCAAGAAACCTTCTGTGATTAATTTCCAAAATAAACTATTTCACCAGACTCTAATTGGAATGAAAAGGCTTATGTTTTACACCGTAGACTCATAGTACTTTAGAACTGGAATGAACCTTAGCTGTTTAGTTCAAATCCCTCATTTCACAGAGGAGAAAATTGATCCAAAAAGGTTGTAACTTGCCCATAAATGGCAAGTTCATGGCAGAGTCAAGGAAAGACTCAGGACTCCTGATTCCAATTCTACAACACCACACCGAGTCATTGTCCTACGGCCATTTTCTGGTGACAATGTGACCTGGTGGAAAAGAAAAAAGTAGACAGCAGGAAGAAGAGAACCAAGTGCTCAGTTAATCCTCAAAGAGGTTAATTAAGTTCCAGATCTTCTAGATTTGACTGGACAGTCAAAGTCAGTTGAGCATTTACACATATGGAAGATTTGAATGAGCTCTAATAAGCCATTATGATTCAGTTATTAAAGGGAGGTGGTGGTGGTTGTTACGTGCTGTGGAGTCGGTTCCAACTCATAGTGACCCTGCACAGGGTTTACTGAGGCTGTAAATCTTTATGAGAGCAGAAAGCCTCATCTTTCTCCCATGGAGCAGGTGATAGTTTTGAACTGCTGACCTTGAGATTAGCTGCCTGATTCATAACTACTACCCTACCAGAGCTCTTTATTAAAGGGAGGAGGACTGGATAATAGTATTCACTGCTCCAATTTCTCTCTCTCTTTTTTTTTAAAGTATGCCTGGTATTCTTGCACTTGACATGCATTATCTATTTTAATCCTGAAAACCACCCTATGGAGTAGGTGATAATTTCACAGGAAGAGAATTCAGATAGGCACACAGTTGGGAATTGAATGGAAGTTTTCCGATGACAAAACCTGAGGTCTTATAAAGCCTCACAAGCACTCAACACTCAATTGGATTAGCACTCTGAATATTTTGGCCTCATAAACACTCATATTTTTAACTTTTCAATAAAATGATAAATGGATACTGAATATTAACAGTTCATATGCCATTACAGTCTCCTTTAGATCCAAGTATTTTCACATATCCTTACAAGGCACATTTGTTGGCAGGAGGTAATTTTTTTTTTACAAGATATAGATAAGCCTTTATTCAGAAGTGAGGATTAACCCAATTCCAAGAGTGACACCCTAATGCAACCCCTCCTTTCTTAAGATTCCCATTCCAACTTTTCAAAATGGGAAAACCAGAATATGCCACAGATTCCCTGCTCCAGTTGACAGAATCCTATTTATCACAGAAGAATAAGTTGTAACTGTTTCTTTCATGAGGAAAAAAAAATCTTCACTTCTCTCTCTTCCTTTCTCCCTCCTTTTTCCCTTCTTTACTTTTCTTTCTTCTTTTTAAACAGAAAGTTGAAATCCCTTATTGATGTGTTAACATTTTATGCCAGTGGAAATCATTAATGTCTGACAAAAGTGAGGCCACACATTCTGAATCTTGTGATTATTATTTTTATTATTAGATTAATTTAAGTGTAAATCCCTTCACACAATGTGGAGAGAAGAGACCCCAAGGGTTAACCTTACCACCATATGGTATGGTACTTTGAAAACTGGATAGGACTACTTCAGCTTGAATGTCTTTATGGCTAAAAATATAAAAAACAACTGCAAGATGACTCATGCACTAGAACTCAACTTCACATGCTTTAGACGCTTCTAAACATGATGTTTTCTGTTAGTGCCTTGTCTTCAAAAATGCCCATAAAATAAATTCCTGTCTCTGCTTTTGAAAAATATTAGGACTAGTCCAGGAGACTTTCACCACGTAAATGCTGTGTGTGAAAATTATACCTTATCAAGGCAAATGGACAACACCTCTCATTTGAAATCTCTGACTCAAACAGAGTGTTACTGACAATTAGCTTTCCTACACTCATTATCTAGGTACACTGAGAGTTAGGAGATGATAAAGGAAGAGAAGGAAAGGAGTTCTACAGGTTGGAAACCACTCCCAGCCTCCTTGCTTGGGTTAAATGTGGGTAATGAGGTATCTCCCCTCTGTCCATGCGCTCCGGCTTTCTTTCTGCTAGGTTGATTTCCTGGATCCAAACCCTTTCCCAATCAACACTCCTGGAATAAGAAGCAAATGAAGAAGCTCTACTTACAATCTGTTGCCATGCCAACATAGATGCATTTTTTAAAGCGACATTCCTGGCACTGATTTCGCGTAACTTTGTCTATGACACATTTTCCTTCATATTTACAGGAGTATGACGGATGGAGATTTTTCTGAATGGTTCTTCTAAAGAAACCCTACGTGAAAAAGAAAGACCCAATATACCAGTTTCATATCTTCTAGAAATAAATCACTCCAGAATTTTCTGTCTATGTGACTATGAGATGAATTGTTTTGGACCTTACTTATATATAGACCTCTAGCTCTACATACTGAAATATAAGACAACTGGATCAACGTGAATATGAAGGATAAGCACTGGGCTGCTAACTGAAAAGTCAGTGGTTCAAACCCACCAGTTGTTCCTTTGAAACCCTATACAGGGTCACAATGAGTCAGAACCAACTCAACGGCACTTACAACACCAACGGTCTGAGTAAAAAGATATCATAGTACTGTAGATTCAAGGCATTTATTCAAAGAAAGGAGGCGAATGGGTGAATCTGATGCTTGCTTTTTCTCCCTAAACATTGAATAATACAAATTCTTTTATTTCATTTAACAAAGATCCATAATTATACTGTTTAGTTAAGCCATGAAAAAGTGATTTCCTAATTTATACTGGGGAATGAAAGGGCTGAGTACTTGTAACATTTCATTAACTAATAATTTAATGGATGCATCAGCTGTCCTTCAGTTCTTGTTTTTGACCCTTAAAATGGTCAGGAACAGCTCAGAGAGTTCTTCAAACAACAGTACTTTGTTGTTGTTAAGTGCCATTGAGTCAGTTCTGACTCATAGTTATGCTATATAGGGTTTCTGAGGAGTGGCTGGTGGGTTTGAACTGTCAACTTTGTGGGCCATGCTGACCTTGTGGGTCCAGTGCATTATCCTGTAGCATTATACCAGGACACCTGAAAATTCTAGGTTCTCTAGCAAAGTTTTCCCGTAACACATGGCAGGTGGTTTTTTCTTTAATAATATTCATATATATACAATAAGAGGGAATTTGTGTGTGTGTGTGTGTGTGTGCTAAGTAGATATAAAACAAAACATTGGCCATGTCAACATTTTTTTATAATTTAGTTACATTAATTATGCTTATCATATTGTGCAACAATGGCCACAATTGTCACTTTATTTTTCTCCACTATACATTAGATAGACACTTTTCAAGTTCAATGTTTTTTCCTTTCTTAAGGCATTTTTAGACAGATGTAGGCACATGGTTGGTATAGGCTATTCTGAAAAGTGCCTATGAACATTTCTGAGGACACGGTTTAGTTCCAGACTTGGGAAGCTTATATAACATTCTTAATGGTGTGCTAAGCTAGAATCTTTCTGGACATGATCTTTACAATTTAGCACCTGTTGTTAAGTGCCGTCACGTCGGGTTCCAACCCATAGTGACCCTGTGTAGGGTTTCTGAGGAGCAGCTAGCTGACGAACTTGAGCCTCAGGCCTCCCAGTTCAAAGTGGACTTTGCAGTCCCATGTTATTAACTAACAGCACCACACTAGGACTCCTTAGCAACTGTACTTCTGTATTATATGAATTAATAATGGTCAGTAGCACTTACTGTATTGTAGATGTTTTCCATATGATTGTTTCAACCTTCCCCATGACTTTCTAAGACAGGCACTCTTAATATTTCTATATTGTAGGGATTAAAAAACTAAGCATCAGAGAGGTTAAGCCATTCACTCTCCCAAAGTCACATGGAAAGTACACTTTGTGCACAGACTGGATCCAATGAATCACACTCCAAATCTTATTTTCTTGACTACTTAAATGTAAGTCAATATTATTACTGTATTAAGACAAACAAATACAGTCTTCTCCCAACCACTCCCTCCAAAAACCTTTGCTTTTTCTGTTTTTGGTAGAGTAGCAAGGCAAAACAAGGTTTTTATATTAAAACTTGAAGGGGATCTCTAACTTTGTTAAATAAATGGTGGAACTGAATATGTATTGACCTCATTTGAGTTCACCCAAATTTTGATTATCCTGTTTATTATTTCTTGACCTTGATCAAGTACACACACATAATTACATATTCTTAGCTCAGATACACTTAAAGACTCTTTATAATGAAATAATCAAAGGTAGGACTTTCATTGGACAAAGTAGCAGAAAATGGACAATGCCAGGAATTATAAAGGTTTATGGACTGGATTTGGGGGCGGGGGTGCAAATCCTTTATGATTTTCATTGTTCAGGTTCTAGCTGAAAACTTGGCATATTAAATTTGGGTTTTGCATACTTAAAAACTTGCTTGAGTCTATTCATTTGAGTGATGTTGACATATTAATCTGAGATCCAGTGAGCCACACACAGAGCAGCCATTTGAGATGTTAGCAGTGTTTCCCTGGGTATTCAGGGTGGCCAAATCCTGCCAAAGGGTGACTGCCAAGTCATGCTACAAGAGAGACGGGAAGCTTCTCTATGAGCCTCCTCATTTTCTCCATTGCCCTCTGTCCAATCCCCCCTTGTCTAGAAGGCAAAAGAAACCCAGAGATTCTTGGCAAGAAGACATGTCACAGATGGGGAGGAGAGGAGTGGAATAGCTTACTTCCTTCTGCAGAAGGCAGTTTCACTAAGGTGTAAACACCAAGGCTCAAGCCATTCAATGAGAATAGTGCCTGTTGCTATAGAGATAAGAGATGACTATTGTATCTGAATTTAGGGAGAGTGTTACTCCTATGCTAATGCTGCCTCGTATTTCAGAGCTGGGGGCATACTGAAGGTTCTAACAACTTGGAGGAGAGAGCCTGCCAAAGAACAGGGATAACTACCACCCATCACTTCAATAGGCTATTCTGTATATTTTTATTGGAATGAATTTACACTTATTTTCCAAAAAGAATTAAGGAGGCTAATGCTACTATTCACAGCACCTATTGTCCTGTGGTCTGGATCTGATGAGTTTTCTTGAACACTTTATGGATCAAATTCCTTTTAAGATTTCAGCCTCCTCTAAGCTACAATAGAACACTATTTGATACACGATGAGGAATCACTTCATTTGAGTGTATTAAGATATTGGGTTTCTTAAATATAAAAAAATGGGAAGCATTAACACGTGTAAGTGAACTTGAATAAACACATTTTAATCAGTCAATTTATAAAAAGGAAAATCCTTCTAGAAGTGAACAAATAAAAGAAATGTTTTAGGGAATGAATAAGGACATAGTGCATTTCACTGATGGTTTGTTAGTGATCAGAGAACTAGCTTTTGTAAATCAAAATCAGACATGCTTCTCTGCATTCTGAGAAGAATCAGATCCATCTTTTAGTGGCTCAAGAAAATGAAATAACTAATGTCATACTCTTAGTTCAATCTTTAGACAGCAGTTATGAAAGTTTTGAGTCTTCAATGAAAAAAAAAAAAAGGTTTGTTGTAGCATAGCATCAATAGTCTTTCTATAAAAGATGCATAAAAAATGCTACATCTCCCCAAAACATTCCCCTAAATTTTTCACTGTCATCAGGAAAAACAGGCAAAGAAGAATGTGTGCATACACATTATAAGTATGGGACAGAAATATTTTTAAATGACAGGGTTGAATAAACAATATGAAAAACTGCTTCATCAAAAAAAAATTTTTTTTTTTTTTTTGGTCATTTTCTAGGATATTTTGTCACTATATTAAATGAGTCTATATAATCAGTCTAGAAAAGCTCCTTTCTGATTTTATGATGGAGGCAAATAGTTTAGAGAGAGAATTTTGATCATGAAGGCAGAGTCTGAGAAATCAAGCACTTTTGTTGTCTAATTTCTCTTTTAACCACAAACATCTTATCATCTTACTAAAAGGGAAAAGAGTTCAATGGATTTCTTGATCACAAGGAAGCTAAATGTGACACAGAAACATAAGTTACTAGACTTGATTCTTTTCTCTGTTAGGTCAACTACCAGTAAGCTTTAAGTCCTCTGTAAGGCATACACAATCTAAAATGGATCGCTTCTGGGAGTTGAGTATTAAATGGAATTTTCATTAATTTCTCCCAGAACTCAAAATTTACCATTAGAAACTGATTTAAAAGAATATCAGTGCTGTATTATTGGGTAGGTGGAATCTTATGAATTAGAGTTAATTTAGAAAAAAGGCCAGTCTTTGGACTGATAAAATGTATCTAAAGTAATAGTTTCATTACTTTCAAATCAAGACAATAAAAACGTGTTTTCAAGAGATATACTGCAAGTATTCTAATGAATCAATAGCCAGTATGTCTAATTAGCTCTGTTTAGTTCCTTAAAATCTTTTTTTACCCCACAGACTTAATGGAAGCCTTTAGCCAAATCTCTGATAAAGGATTATAACGTCCAGATCAAAAATGTCTGGATGAATAAGAGGTTGTATCCACATTTCAAACATGTCTTGTAGATTTCAGGCCTTGGAACATTAGCATCTCTTCCCAGTGATACATTATCAACATTTCTAGCAAGTCTCTGCTAAGGGCTCTCGAATTTCATTCACAAAAAGTAGGGAATTTGCATGGAAAACCTTCTACTAGGGAGGTGGACCATATCTTGCTTTGAAACCAAGCTAACTCCTTGAATGGCTTGGGTTTAGGGTCAGGAGTAGAAAGAAACATGGTAGTTGGAGAAGGGAAATATATAAATTTGACTTTGGTTTTATATCTTGTGACAATGCAGCTTTAAAATATGAAAAGGGAAAAGAAAAAACATTAAAAACTCCTCCCATGACTTTTGTTGCTTTTAGTTGCCATTGAGTCGGTACCGATTCATAGCAACCCTACACACAACAGAACAAAACACTGCTCAGTCGGGCACCAACCTCACAATCGTTGCTATGATTGAGCCCATTGCTGTTGCCACTTTGCCAATCCATCTCATTAGGGGTCTTCCTCTTTTTCACTGACCTTCCCAAGACTTTCATTTTCTCAATAATCAAACATCTGGGGAGGGGGTAGCCCTGAGTTAGGCTTTACCTGTATCGTAGACTTTATTTTCTAGGCTAACTATTTCCCAGAAGGCTCATCTTAATTTTGCTGATGAGTATGGGAAGTAGGCAAACTCACTTTTGAGAAATGAACTCAGTACTGATAACGAGTGTACTTTTTTTCAAGTACTTTTTGAAGATGGGTCTACAGAACACAAAATAACAGATGGGTGACCAGAATTTCCTCACTGATGGCAGGTTATGCAGAAAGTCAATTTGGATAATTTTAGAACATAATTGAATCTAAGTAGACTCAAAGATATTTCCTAATGGAACCCTGAGAGCTGAGCACATTCACTTTGACTAACAGTGGAAAAAGGCCTATAGTAGAGCACACGCTGTCTTCTCAAACATTGTACATAAAGCAAGATGAGAAACAGTCATTTCTTGGCATGACAATGTTTGTTATAAAATATCTATATGTTTTAATCCAAAGTAAGTATTTTATTAATTTCCCCCATTTTACTATTTTTCCCTCCCCGTTAATAAAAAATATAGAGGTAAAGAAACCAGACATTGATCACAATCTGGCAAAACTTCATGAGATGATATACCCATTAGGATGAGATAGTTGCTAAGGTACCAATTAATTTTTGAATTGGAAAGAAAAATCAATTCAGCTCTTGAACATGTTAAAATGAAAAACACACCTGGACACGTGGAAGACCACGGGCCATGAAATGGAATTGGGCCCTAATTGGAAAGTAAGTTTCATATTGCATTCCTGCCCATCACTGGGAAGGGACTAGAGCTGAACTGAGCTCTGTAATCTCTGGACCCCAGGCCATTTACCTTGCAGCCTTCACACGTGATGCAGCGGTAGTGATACCCGGTGGCTTTGTCACCACACACTACACATAGCTCGTCCTTGTCTAAGTAACTGGGTATGTACCCTGTGAAGGAGAAAAAAAGAGCAATGTGAGAAAACAATGGTATGTTAAAGTCAAAGGCACACCAGAGCTAAGGTCACTAAGCCAGAGACACAATTGGTTTGCCAATGGGAGGTGACATCCAAAAGACTTCATGAAATTTAATAGTTAAGTATCTTAACACTTCTAGAGTTAACATCAGGCCCCAAATTTCAGAATATTCTGGAAAAAGTGTGATTTCTCTTGTGCAGGTGGAACAGAGGACGGAAGGCCAATGAGTCATGGAGAGAGGTTAGAACTAGAGATACCTGGAGTGCATTGAATTTTGGAAGACACAATTTCCTCCATATGCCTTATATTACTAGTTCTTAGAAGACTTGATTCACTTTGGAATCAAGGCACCATTCCATAAATTTAGAGAACCATATAGCTAGAAATATTTTGGGTGACCATCAAGTGCTTGGAGGTGAAGAAACAGGCCCTCAGAGGTTTTGCCTTCTGCAGGGTCACACTAGAAATTAATGAACCAGTTGCTATCAGGTGGACTCTGACTCATGGTGACCCCATACGTATCAGAGAAGAACTGTAGTCCATAGGGTCTCCAATGATTGATTTTCTAGAAGTAGATCATCAGGCCTTCAGAAGTGCCTCTGGGGGGACTCGAACTTCCAATTTTTTGATTAGCAGCCAAGAGTGTTATTTGCAACACCCAGGGACTAAAGAAATTAATAGCAGAAACTATAAACCAGATCGCCTAACTTCTAGTCCTCCATTATCAAGTTCACTTGTCTTTTTAAAATTTAAATAAAAATAGAATTAAATTTAAACAGGATGAATAAGACCATCTTAAAAAATTAGATACATTTATGATATTATGAAACATAGCCCAACAAGACTAAGCAATGTGAAATAACAGAGGTTCTATCAGTAACAATGAAAACCCTACCATAACTGCCTTGATATTAGTTGGCTATTTGTTATTAGTTTGGATTCCTTGATGCAAGAAGCTAAAGTTTGCCAACAAAATCACAATCAACCTGCTTCCCCGCAGCTTTCCCTTTCTCCCTTCTCTTATAGATGGTGTCCACACAAAGAACTAAAGCAAAAGGGCAAGTTCATCTTCACAGGTGCTAAGAGTTTACCAGACATGCATAGAGCCTTAGCTAGAACCAAAAGATCAAAGCAAGACATGAGCTACAGGCTCTACTGGAGAAGGGAGAGGTTGAGAAGACAAAAGTATTCTTTTTCAGGATACCGTATGAAGTTCTTTGACTCATTAAACTCTTATTGGTGTCAGTGAAGATCAGCCAGGTTGAAATGACAGGTGACTTAATATGTGCTTTACCAGGATATCTTCATAGACCTTTGATTAAACTGAGTCACTAAGGGCCTACTTTTCAGGAAGAAAAGGATAAAGACAACTGAAAAATGAATCCTTTTCACAATTTCTTAGAAATTACTATGCTCAGACTCTAGTTTAGAAAAATGTACCTTCTTGAGAACAAGAGATGAATGACTTCAAAGGGTGATTTGGTAGTACACAGGAATATATTTTAAAGTATTACAGCTTTTCATAGTTTACTTTTATATCATGCAAAGTGTTCATCTGTTGAGTTCACTTCAACTGCTTCAAAACTCCTACCAGACAATTTAAAAAAGAAAATTCTGAGAGGAACTTGGGAAGAACAATGGAACTGGAATTGTTTGTGTGTTCATTTATTCATTCGTGAATTCAATAGATATTTAGTATCCACTTGTGGTGCTGTAGGATAAGCACTGGACTTGCTAATCTCAAGGTAGGCAGTTCAAACCCATCAGCTGTTCTTCTTCGAAACCCTATACAGGGTTGCTATAAGTCAGAACTGAACTGATTGTACTTAACAAATTTGGCTAATATTGTGCAAGGAGCTGAGGATACAAAAGCAAAACACATAGTTTGTTGCTTCGAGAAATATATATATATGCATCTGAATTCTGTTTCTCTAACCTTGGTCACTCCTTAATGAAAGAGAGGTGAAAATGGAGGAGAGAATATGAAAAAATGCTCACTATCATTAGCTATTAATAAAATGCAAACCCAACAATGATGAGATACCACTACAAACCTTGTAGAATGGCTATAATAAAAAGACTGATAATAGCAAGTATTGGTAAGGATGTGGAGGAATTGGAGTCCTCTTCATACACTGCAGGTGAAAATGCAAAATGGAGCAGCCACTTGGGAAAACAGTTAGGAAGTTTTTCAAAAAGTTAAATAAAGAGTCTGGTAGTGTAGTGGTTACGAATCAGGCTGCTAACCTCACGGTCAGCAGTTCAAAACTGCCAGCTGTTCCATGGGAGAAAGATGAGGCTTTCTGCTCCTGTACAGATTTACAGCCTCGGAAACCCTGTACAGGGTCGCTATGGGTCGGAACTGACTCTACGGCACGTAACAACAACAACATGTTGTTAAGTGCTGTTGACAACATATAAAGTTGACAACATGTTAAGTGTTGTTTACATAGCAAGTCTGTAAAAGGTTTCTGAGGAGCAGCTGGTAGGTTTGAACTGCTGACCTTGTGGTTTGCAATCGGTGCTTATCCTATACTGCCACATCAGGAGTCATGCTATAATATGGATGCCTCTTGAGAACATTATGCTGAGTGAAAAAAACAACCCTAGACACCAAAGACCTCATACTGTATGATTCCATTTATATGAAATGTCCAGAATAAGCAAATCCGAAAGGTAGTGGTTACATGTGGCTGGAAGGCTGACAGAATGGAAGAGACTAAAGAGTGTGAAATATTTTTTAAGGTTGATGAAAATATTCTGAAAATTGGAGTGATGATTGTGAAACTTTGAATATACTAAAACCCATTGAATTATTCACTTTGTTGTTGTTAAGTGCATTGAGTCGGCTCCAACGCTCAATGACACTGTATAGGCTTTCCAAGACTGGCTGGTGGGTCTGAACTGCTGACTTTGTGGTTATCATGGTTAGCAGTACAGTGCTTATTTCACAGCACCATATGAGGGCTCAGCTATATACTTTAAATGGGTTTTAAATATTTTAAGATATGTGTATTATATCTCAATAAAGCTATTATTTAAAAATAAGCAAAAGAATGAAAACAGGAAAGGTCTACTCAGACAATATTATCCAGTTCAACTGTGTCAGGCAATGTACTAATAATTTGAAGACAATTTGTAATTCTAGGGAGAGCCTTTGATCTTGTGGGGGAAACAGACAATAGTAGATAGTTAAGTTGCATAGAATGTGGTAGGTACTAGGCTAGAGCTATGTTCAGGATTTCCCTTGGATTTCTTTAAGATTTCTTTAAGAAATCTTTCTGCTCTTCACCCTACTCCCAGTCTGGGTTAGCCACTGTCTCATCTCCTTGGGCTTCCTTCCCTAATGTTGTGGTCGTTTTGAAATTCTGTCCATTTGGTTCTGCCTCATAGTGACCCTGTATAGAGTTTCCAAGGAGCAGTTGGTGGGTGTGAATTGCCGACCTTATGGTTTGCAGTCCAGTGCTGAGCCTATAGTATCACACAAGGAGTAACATTTTATTAATTGCTTTATAACTAACTAGCTGTGAACTTTTCTCTCCTTAGATTGTAATCTCAGGATCACTATGGATTTGTACAGTTCCAGCTACAAAGCAGGCATGGTATCATTTATGCTGAAATTCCAGAATCTAGCACCCGCTTCCTGGGAAGGATGGCATGGCTACTGTGGGCAAGTTGCAAAGAACATAAGGAAGGAGAGTTATATCTGTAAGCTACAGATGGGAAGGCTTGAAGGCTGGAGATGTGCCTATGAAGGTTAAGGATCTTGGCAAAGGCTTCTAAAAAAGTGATAATGTAGGCATAAGGTACCCCAAACTTTGGGCTTTCTGAAAACTGGAGGAAAAAGATTGATCTTTGGTAAAGAAATTCAGATTCTCCCAGTCTTGGGGAGACTAAGTCATTCAGAATTGACCTAGTCAACACCTCCTGACCTGGGGTATTCAAGCTCACTGATAAGTAGACTTGGGTTCACTTTCTTTGGTTGTACTCTGATCTCCAGATTTTAAACAGTGTTGGACACAAGGCTAAGGACAACTCAAGGGCAATACCATTACCCCACAAATACAGAAACGAATAATATTATATCCAGGTCAAGTTGAGTAAGACACCATAACCAAAAAGCAGAGATTTGAAATCAGAATTGTACACAACTCATTTAACTTTCTACTTTGGGGCATGTGAAAATTCAATGTAGTGGCATCTGAACCTGTCTACATTCACAAGGATGAGAGAAAATCACTATCAGCCCAAAGCTGATTTCTATGAGGTGGAAATCAAGCACACGTCCATGCTCTAACCTTTATTGTTATTATTTAATCAATTTCGACATCAATTGTTTTCTCCATGGCACTATATTTCTCTGCTGGATTCAGTAACTCATTGCAATGGCCACAAAAATCTCCCAGACCATATTCAGGTTGATGAGGGGTTTATGGAAGTAATCCTTACAACTAAGGGATCAGGATCAGCTTGGCAGTAACAGGATATTATAATGAACATGACAGCTTTCAGCTTCTCAGCCATGCCAGCAGGCAGGCAATGCTTCTTGGCTGTGGATGTAGGCTGGGCCCTGCTTAGGTTTTCACTCTCAGTATCTACTGTCTATGGATGTCTTATGCCATTGCCATCTTCAATAGCACAACTCTTTCTCTCCTGAGTCTAGAAAGTTCTGAGTGCAGGGACCCCAGGTCCAAAGGGCATGCTCTGTTCCGGATTCTTCTTCTTGATGGTAGTATGGGCCCTAATCTTCTCTGGAATTAGCCCTTATAAGTCTAGCAGGATGGCAAAACTGACCAATTCTCTTCGTAGGTCACAATCACCTACTTTGCATAGTAACTGACTAATCCTTGCAAGGGTTTTGTGTACCTTATTTGCACAGTAAATTGTTCAATCTTTTGCAAATCACCTTGGCTGAACTATAGAGTCTGGCCCAGCAAAGGCCACATATAAAGAGAAGCCTGTTGCACTGTGGA